TAACACGGAACTTTAGCTGAAGCAAGCACAAGTACATTGCCAGTAGGAGTCCAACACTCTTCAAATAATCAGCGCAGTAGGAGTAAGTTTGATTTCAGTCCAATTTGTGGACCCACAATCCTATGCATATTGGTGTACATACCTACATGGACAAACACGCATAAGTATATAACGTTAACACACACCGAGTCAAAGCCTGTGGCACATGACCAGCAAAGGCGGGCAGGACCGGTGTGATGCCCAAGGACAACATACGCTGCAGGATGCGCTTCTGCAAACGGTGTTGGTCATCTATCCACCTCTGTAGAGTGAGATGAAACGTCACTTACGGAGACATGTGCGTAGGTTACGACAACGGCTTCAAGGACTTCTTAGGACCTCAGAAACATGTCCTTGTACGTTTGTGGGTGTGTGTGGGTGTGCATGTGTATGGGGACCGGGGTACGTTTGCTTCAATTGACATTGAGTGCGCGAATATGCGTGTGTGCAATGAGTGTACTTTTAGGCGACAATGCTACCGTTCGTGTGTGTGTGTGCATGTATACGTGAGCCAGTAGGTATGTGCGTGTGTTCGTATGTGCACGGCTGTGCTTGTGTTTGTGCACGGTGGGCAAGATTAATTGCGCACAACCGCTCAGCTGCGATTCTCGCGAGACGCCTCTAATCAAGTGGACAGCGCATTCCGTAGATTGTAAACCTCTTATTAGCTCGAGTATGGCTTACATATGTATCTCTACGCAGATGTACTCCAGGCACAATTCTGGTTTAACACCATACTATTTCATAATCTAGGTATAGTACGCCTGAGGTAAAGCCCTCATATAATAGTATAAGCATAGTCTACTCGAGGTAAAGTCCTCGTATAATAGTAAAGTATGTCTATCTGAGGTAAAGCCCTCATATAGTAGTATAAAAATAGTCTACTCAAGGTAAAGCCCTCATATAATATTATATAGTCTATTTGAGGTAAATCCCTCATATAACAGTATAAAAATAGTCTACTCGGTAAAGCCCTTATACAATAGTGTATAGTCTACTCGAGGCAAAGCCCTCATATAATAATATAGGTATAGTCTACCTGAGGTAAAGCCCTCATATAATAGTATAAGTATGGTCGACCCGAGATGAAGCCCTCATAAAATAGTAAAGTATTTTCTATCTGAGGCAAAGCCCTCATAAATAATTAAGTATAGTCTACTCAAGGTAAAGCCCTCATATGATAGTATAAGTATAGTCTACTCAAGGTAAAGCCTCATATAATAGTATAAGTATAGTCTACCTGAGGTAAAGGGCCTCCCCACTTCTGCAGATTGCCCATCCTGAACCAAGCCAAGAATGCGGGGCCACTGAACCATTCGCTCAGCTCAGCATCACTCACATTGAAGTGACGCTGGTACACCCGACGCCACACGTACTCCTGTCCTGTAAACGCCTATTAAAATATACCCAAACAAGCACGAACGAAAGAAAGAGAATACATAGGAGAGTGAATAGGTGTGTGTTCCCAAAGGGTCCAGTATAAGAGAGATGGGGTAATCCTGGGGAGTACTGCGGTGTGCGAGCACCAATAGGCAGACGTATGAACGGAAAAGAAATACTTCAGATGTACGCTCAAATGCATCCTAGTATGACGAAAGCAGTACGGTCTCTTATACAGACCGACGCACACAGACTCGCAAACCACAGCATCTGCGAACTAAACCGACAGTGCCTACCAGTGGCAGGTTGATACCCTTCAGGGCCATCCAGTCAATCTCCGTCTCCCACCGCTCCCAGTCCCACTGCCACTGTTTGTGAGGACGCCCAAGTGAACAGATCAGACTGTTGAACATCCACAACACGCAGGATATGGTGAAGCATTATGACTGAACTGAAATACAGTGATCAGAAATCATAGATGAACCAGATGGCGTTCAGTGTGTCTTGGGAGATGCAAGTACAACATGCAGGAGCCAGGCATACACTGAACCTGGCCAGATATGGGTCCATTGGCAAACAGAAAGGTTGACGAGCAGCGGATCAGCTTTCGCTAATGTTGAATGTGGCAACGAAGATAGTACAGACTGATTTGACCCGACCCGAACAAAGCAGAGGATATGCCCAATCTATAAGTAGTAGGAATAGACCACGGTCAGAACACTTTCATCAACGTTTCTTTCATAACAAGATATCTGCGGATATAGTACGCTGGCTACGCTCATACTCGTGTTCTTAGCAACGCGTTCAACCCACTCCTGCACATTTGACGGTGTATCGTGTATCTATACAAAAATGTGTATACCTTAAGGCGATGCTTGTGACGATGAAAAGATGGGTGACAGACGTATGCATGTTGTGTATCACGAGTACGGAGCCGCACCACATACACAAATGAAAAAATGAGATACATAGATACATTATATATACATATACACAGATATTCAGAATAACAATATACACACCCCATACTCTGGACACAAGACCTACCATGGTGTAGCTGGCTGTGCACGTGTTCATGTAGTACGCCACGGGGACGCGACGCTTCCGAGTGATTGGCTTGGGTACTGGGGGCAAGCGGTAGCACTGTGTATCTCCTGCAGTGTCAGTGTTCAACAAATAAATCTATTGAAAATAAGGGTATTCCCAGCAACCCTAACCTTGCCGAGTTGATTTAGTGATTTGAATCGAACGCGAGTTAAACACATTATGTGCTACATACCGCCATATGATTTTTTCTTTCTTTCTTATGCGCATGAACTAACGTTTGTAGCATGCCACATATGTTGTGGGGAAACCCTGGATAAAGTGTGAATAGTACAGCTGACTGAAAGCCATGACAACAGCAGACTCAGATCCATGAGAGTACGCAATGATACTCGTACTTCCCTTACTTTAGCTAGAGTACCAGTACAGTAAACCATCAGAAACACGATGCGAGTATCACCGATTGAAGAGCTTCTCCTGTACGCTATTCAGATAAACTATCAGAAGCCACAGGATACCTTGCGGTTCCTCAGTCGCTACGAGCCGCATAGCCGCGCATTTGCCTAAACATCTGTGATCTGACCCTGTATCGTATCGGAGTTCTGCACTGTGTACCATAAAATATATACCTGTTGCCAACTCCTCACACAACGGCAGCTTAGGGGTCGAATAACCCGTTAAACTGATTGAGGACTTCATAAAGTGAGTCATGTAATACGACAGCGCAGAAGTCAGTGCCAGTGTGGTGGTGCCTCGCAGAGTGACGACAACCTAAGAATAGAATATACAGTTAGGGTGCTGCAGATTGGGTACATATACCCACTATCATACAAGAAGCAGCAACAGGAAGAGCGCTTTAGTGTACTTCGTATATAAACAAATACTTTGTTATATTATTCGTGAAGCGTATAAAATATCAACGTAACCAGTCATTCACGATAAAGTATATATCTCTTTAACCTACAGGTACAGCAATATATATATATATATTCGAGAAGAACAAAATGTATGAACACTCTTACTGGCAGAC